CGGGTGACGGTCTCAATACTGCGAGATTCTTAGCACCCTCTGCTCCCTCGTCAATTCCTCCACCACAGCGACGGATAATTTGTGCAAAACTGATACGCAAGCCTGGTAACGATCGGTACAGTAGCCCTCCCCCCCGCTTTAGGTCCCCTTAGAAATGCTGAGCATTCCAAAGATGTTAATAACATGGGATACTCATACTGGTAGCCCAGGTAGTCCTGGTAAGTCGGGTTTGTTTCAAAAAAATCAGAAGCTGAAAGCTAATACTCATAAACGAAGTGGACTTTAAAAAAGGTTAAAATGAAACCTTGATCTTCTCATCAGTAGATTTGGGCACATGTTCCTTTACTGTTATCATAATACTGCTTGATTTCGTATTTTTGATTATAATTTTTTGCTCATTCATTGTGGACACCGTTTTTGTAAGTAGTCCACTCTGAAACTTCTGTAGTATTCAGCAAAAATTGGCCATTATTTATTCTAAAATTTAACGATCTCTGAAGAAACTTTCTCGGACAGATTAGCGTTAATAATGGATGCGCTTTTAAAGTTGCATACTGATTTCGAATGTTACCGGAAAGAAGCAAAAGAAACGACAAGAAGGTTAGCATGTAGCATTAGTCAAAGCAAGTGGAACAGTTGCCAAATGCGCAGCTGGACGACCGGAATGTGAATTGCAGCTAACAAAGTATTAGATTATCGGAGAATTAACGGTCAAGAAAATGAAGGGCGGTAAACAGGAACAGGTTTGTTATGAATGCGTTTTCTATCTTCTAGACTCCTGTAAGCGAACAAGTACCAAAAAGAGCATACCTGTTCAGTATACTTGTGCACAGGTCTGTATTCAACTTTTACTGCCGGATCGACACCTAAGGAGCACTGGAAGCGCTCTCCCGGAAAAACAGAATTAAGTTGAGTCTGAAATAAAACTCAAGAAATTATCGTTATCGTGAATGAAAAGCTAGGAAAATTGTTTTTTTTTTTTTTCTGATTTCCTGTGCTACTTTCTGCCGTCTATCACGCAGAGCTGCCATGAAAATATCAAGACTTTTACTTCTCTCCATTCATCTTGTTCGCCATACCGTGTTTTATAAGCGTACACTTTGCGTTCCTTCTTACACACTTGCTTTACCGTTACTATCCTATCAGTTGTTGATTAGACAAGTACTGGCCCATACCATTTGAGTTTGGCCGGGCAGAATACAGCGCTGTATGTTCTCGAAATACTTCAGGCCGATAGGAATTGTATCCTACCACACCATAACAAAGTATGGACCATTACCTTAGCACTACGATAAGGTTAAGTGCCCGGGTTAGTATTTTGTAGAAAGCAAAGCAATGTAAGCGAAAAATTTCCCAGAAGAATTTTGGTGATAAGTGCTGGTGAGATATTGCTTTTCCGCAATGAATTCAGTGCTAAACGAATTTGTTGAATTTGGACCTGAATTAGGGTAGGTGACCTCGTCTCCAGTGTGCTCTATACATCTGGCGAAAGCCTCAGATATCCTGTCTCTGTTATCTCTAAAGCGAGTTATCGAGGCAGATAGAAACCCAAGCATAAACTCATTGGGATGTTATTTATGTATGAAAAAAAAATCGTAAAAAAGAGTGACCTTAGCAATGAAGCTGTTATCAAAATATACAGATGCTTGGCCTGCAAGGAACGGCTTGGCAGAATCATTAATGACCGAAGCAGTCAGGTAAACATTGATGCTTTTGGATGGCACTGTTTCGTAGAACATTTTCGGGCTTAGTTCCAAAATTTCGATTGTAACTTTGTGGTCCGTTGAATCGGACGGAATGGATGCTGGGCGAGTTATAACGAACATGCTCGCCATAGTTGTTTCGAACACATCCGCATGCTACAAGTATGCTCAATGGTCAGTGGTTGAAATGTTTTCAAAAAAAGGGCAATTTCATGAATATGATCAAAAGCGAGTAAAGATACCGCATATCCAACTGCGGGAGCACCTGCATATGCGACTCCTTCCTCCTCATAATCCAATGCCTCCATTTTCATGCTGCAAAGATTCACATTTTGTTCTTTGTTCTTTCGATTTTTTGAATTTTAAAGCTAAAATTCAAAAACCCAGGCTGGAACGCACCAGGCGGGCCCGTGCTATCATGCGTTTTTTGCACAGGACATGAAGTACTCAGATCATTAACTGCATGAATGGTTGTTGCTTTACACCTACCTTTTGCGATCACTAGCATAAATCACCAT